GGGGGGTGTATTTTTTGGATTTAATGCTTTGTGCAAAGAAATCTTTCACTATAAGTCTATCAATTACTTTATCCGCCTCTTTAGAAACCAGAAGGAATCTGGTGTAAGTCTCATCCCCGACTCATATTAGCTTGTGCGCTCGTTACGCAGACAAAACTAAAGATGAGAAGCCACAAGGAATTGTGAAATGAGACACCCCTCAGATTTCTTCTGTTTCTTAAGTGGTGAATGGGCAAATTAGCAGATGAAGTGTTTGTAAGGCCACCACTTTATGATCACATTGGCTGGACAGCACAGCAACTCAAATAGTGAAATACCAGATATATTAAATTGACTGGATGATGACTATAAAGACTGGCTTACACTGTATTTGATTACATTAAGTTAGGGGTATAATGATTGGTGGCAAATTGATAAAAACAATATCCCAGATATGAGGATATTATTTTTATTCACACATGTGAGGATATCATGTTTGATAACATTTTTGTCTCTTTAACTGGACTTAAATTTGTTGGTGTATGATTGAAACATCTTTGGATCTTTTTTGGAAGTCCTTGGTGATCTTCGGAAATCTTCAGAAATCTTTGGAAAGTGGTGGGAAATCATAGGAAAATCACCAAAAACGTTGTTATGTAGTGTGAGAAGTTTATGCAATAAAAAGAAAATAACATGGTTGCTTGGAGATACGAATTTCTCTTCTTGTGTTTTCAACGCGTAAAAAGAAATTTTATATATTTGCATGGCCATGTTATTTCCTCTATATAGTTTTTGCAATTAAGCTTTGCACAGACATTTTTGTTGAAATATGGTTAAGCCACTAAGTTATTTTTACATTGTATGCACAATATATGCTTATTTCAACCTTTCTTTGAAAATTATACTGGGCATCAAACAAGTAATACTGGTAAGTTTGTTTCTTTTTTCAGATACTAAGCCCTCTGGCAGCATCTCAGACAGTCAAGATAGGGAAATCTTTGAAGGTTTGATAAGACTTTTTCTATAAGTCAAATTCAAATATTGGGTCATAGGTGTGGACCTCATCCCCACCCTGTAAGTAACAAGCCTCCAAAAGTTTGGGACAGACTTAATAGTTAAGTTGGTCTCACTTACATCAGTGCAAAATTCACTACCTATTAATTACATTTAGTTACAGTGTAAAATTTTGCTGCTAGTAAACTAACCTAGGGCCATATAGGGGAATATTGGCCTGAGGGTACGACAGTACGGATCTCATTGCACTCTGTCCATGCCAAATTGACCGAGGACTAATATTCCCCGGTATGGCTCAAGCTAGCTAGGTTAGTACATAGTTTATGATATGGCACTCAGGCTTAAATTTGCTGACTTTACAAAACCAAAAATGTCATTTTATTTATGGGAATGGTTTTTATTGCTAAATCCTGGCCAAGAAAGAACTAATCAGAACATATTTACCTCAAAACTACCTTGCCATATAATAAATAAACAATAGCCTCCATTTGGTGGGAAAATATGCTCGGATATTTGTCCGCGGACGTTATCTGTTCCGAGAAGCGAACAGTTTTCCGAGAGCATAGCTCGAGGAAAAGTGTGAGCTTTGAGGAACAGATAATGTCCAAGGACAAATGTGCGAGCATATTTTCATGCCAAATGGAGGCTATTGTGTTTATTATTCTTCAAACATTTTTTGCAACGCACCCAGTTTTGAAACTTGGGGAATATTCGGTCATGTGATGCATTTAGACCAATCGTGCACAAGCAAATATATTTGATGGATTATAATTGATATTATTTTATTGTTTTATTATACAGATATGCCTCCAAGAAAAAGGCCAAGGCATGACCAGGAGGACATCGAAAATGGCATGCCATCAGAAGAGGCCCTTGGAGACCTGGCGCAACACATAACTCCATTTTGGAAACCCTTGGGGCGCAAACTTAAAGTTCCCAATGCCAAACTTGAGGAAATTCAGAGTGACAATGTGCAGTACCCAGCAGTGAAAGAAAAGGCATTTCAAATGCTGATGGTCTGGATCGACC